GATCGAGTCCCGCATGGGGCTCCCTGCTCAGCAGGGAGTCTGCTTCTCCCTCTGACCCTCTTCCCTCTCGTGCTTTCTCTCTCTCATTCTCTCTCTCTCAAATAAATAAATAAAATCTTTAAAAAAAAATAAAATGTGTATCAGAATCGCAATAGTCACAAATGTGTATTCTCAAGCCTACTCCAGGGTCTGTGCTTTCCCAGGTCTGTAGTGAGACCAGCAAGTCCTTGCCCTTCCCAAGATAATGCCAACTCATAGAGTGCTAGGACTGTCTTTGGAAAATCACCGGTTGAAGCAACAATAAATAAAAAGGAAACTATCAAGACTGTCTCCACCAAGAAGCTGCTGTCAATTCTCAGGACAACAGCTGTCTCAGAATATTTTATTTGAACTTCAGAAGAAACCTTGCGGTTCCTAAAAGACAAACACTGATGAAAGCAGCACAGGTAGAGAAAAGGACCCGGGGCCATAGGTCTGGAGCCCAGAATTTGAAAACTCCTTCTCCCACGACATCAGTGAGACCTAGGCCCTGTGAATGAGAGAAAATGGAAAGAAACTAACATACATAATGAGTCCCTCGTTTGTGCCAAGCATTTTATAGGCGTCTCTAATTTAGCTGTCGGGTGCTGATAATACAGTATAGATTAGTCAAACTGAGCCTAAGAGAAGCTAGATCCCCTGGGAATAAGTCAGCAGCGTAGAACTCAGATCTGCCACAGTACTGTTGTTCATGCTGGGGGCAAGCAGTGTTTTCATCTTTAAACTGAGGCTGTCAACCAACCCTGTCTCACAGCCGGACGGGGCGCCGGCTTGACGGACCACTGGGGAGAATCCACAGAGCCATGTCAACGGAGTTGAATGTTGAAAAAGGCACTGCTTTTGTTTTAAAATGAGAACTCAGTAACGAACAAGTTCCTAATACGGATCTGAAAGCAGAGGACTCACAATCTGGACTGAGTGGAAAAGATTTGGTCATGAAGTTGAACTTGAAATGCGAAACACAGCCGTCCACTGGGGGGAACACACAGCCAGAGGGTTATTTTTTCAAACTTCTCAACTGCTGCTTGGGGCAGACACTACTCTTCTCGTTCTACAAGCTGATAGTTAGCTGAGGCTTATGGGCCAGAATCGGGCCAGGTTTTAAACCTAGAACTTCTAACTTCTCATTCAGCTCCCATGACGTATGCGTTCATGACTTTCATCAGAGGCTCCACTACATTTTTGGTGAATTCCAAAGCTGACCTCCACAAGGAGATAAAACAGTAAAGGCTGAAAGACAAGTTCAGAAAGAAATCACGGGCGCTTTAATGTGACATGTTTATTTTCTTCTACGTAAGTCAAGTCCGGAGGTAAGCCGTGCAAGGCTGTTTGGCAGCTTTGCTCCCCCAGGTCCTCAGAGATGCTGCTTCCTCCCTGGTATTGGCCCCAATCCCATTGCCTAAAAGAGTGATAGCCATGTTCCAGGCAGCAGGAGGGAGGAAGGGAAGAAAAAGAAGAAATCAACAGTGCCCAACAATTTGAAATGAAAGTTTCCTGAAAATTGTGAGTTGATTCTCTGCCTCTTCCATTTACCAAAACTTAGTGTCATGGGCACACATGACCGTGAGGAAGACCGGAATGTGTAGCAAGTACTTGGTCTAGGTGCCTATGTATGCAGCTGACAGCCAGGGCTTCCAGGACGGATGGGGAAGTGGACGTGGGGAGACACACAGCCGTCTCCTCTTCGGAGTTCCTAGTCATGGGTCCTTGGGACCCACTGGCCTCTCCCTTGTCACCACGTGTTGATGAGCAAGCCCAGGGGCAGCCTCTGGAGCCGGAGCCCACGCTCACCTTCACCATACTTCTCCCCACCCCCTGCCCTCCAAAATCTTGTGACTGCAATGAAAACAGAAGCTGCATCTGCTTGGGGAACCCGGCTGGTTTGGGAATGCCATCATCTGCAAAGCCCAGTGACTCCACTTCCCAGAGAAACAGGAACTTCTAAAGCGCTGCAGGCTCCCTACTCTCACTTCCCTTCTCCCACCAGAGAAGCAGATTGTCTTGATGGCACCTGCTGGGAACTGTTTCAGCCGGTGATTGCCTTTGAAGGCGACCATCGCATGGAGCCAGCCCTTGGGGGCGCAGCCAGCACCCCTGTCCCAGTAAAGACACTAAAACGCACCAGCCTTGCACTTCCAGGGGCTTCCGTTCAAGGACATGTTTACAAGTACAGATAGTGTGAGCTTCTCTCTAACTTTATCTGACTTGCATGGCCCGTCGCCCATGGGAAGGAGCTGGAGCTTCTAAGTCAGCGGTCTACAACATCAATGCGAGTAGATGTCACCACAGAAGCTTGTGCAGAAAGTAACTGCTTTGCACTGGGGCCCGGTTTTGCTTTCTTTCCTCTCTTTTTTTTTTTTTTTTTGGAAGCACCCAAGATGCAAGTGGTCAGGGGACCTTAACTGGATGGCCATTGGCCAGAGGCCTTTTTCATACTTCTGTGGTCCTGAGAAGAGGTGTCCAAGCTGATAGCCAAGGGCTGGGGTCATTGGGAAACCTCCGGAGATGACACATATTCATCTTCACTTCCCTTCTAAAAATAACTTTCAAGGGAATGTTGTCTTTTGTAAAGAGATGTTGTTTCCTTCAGAGGAACGCAAGAGTCAGTTGTTCTCCGGAGTGGTTTGGTGTCAGTGGCTGATGAACGACCCTCCGCAGACACATGAGCATAACTCTTCCAGGATGATGTGAAAAGCTGCTGGGTAAACTTCCTTTGTCTTTTTAGAAAATGGCTCTCTCAGAGGAGCCAGCCTATCCTTCGGCCCCAGGAAGACTCAAAGACTTGGAAGGGTTTGGGGTGCCTCTGCAGTGGGGGTCTGGGGCCCGCGGGAGGGAGTGTCAAGCTCACTCAGCCAGGGAGGAGATCGGGTTCTACTTTCTTTTCTATCGCTGGTTCTGGATGCTGGAGTGTTTCCACACTGTACATTCGCTGCGCACCTGCCATATATTGGGTTACAGGAGTGATCAAGGGCCTGAAATCTCAGCACCACCTTGGGGGAGGCAGGCACCAGAGTATGTAACTATAGAGCATATTTATTGGCTTGCTTTGTTCCTATATGCTATGCAGAAACCAAAAAAGAGTGTATTAATCAGGAAGGGCTAACATCTATAATGCATGAACTACAAATGTTAGTAGTTTAATAAAATAAAGATTTATTTCTTGTTCACATCGCAATCCGATGTGGATCGAAGGAAGTCTTTTCCACAAACGCTCATTAGGGATTCACTCTCCTTTTACCCATAATCCCTGAAGACCTCGGGGTCTTTTATCTCTAGCCAGCCACTGAGGCAAGATGAGCGTCGAGAGGAGCAAGAGAAGGAGAGGGTCAAGTGGGTCACCCAGGAGTGATGCACATGCACCCACCTTGTCCCAGTGGCTAGAGCACCATGCCATGGCCACCCGGTGCAAGGCACACTGGGAAATGTGTGCCAGCCGAGGAAATGGGGCTCAGTGCACATCCTCACAGCATCCTCAAAGCCGTGTGAGGTGCTTGAGGTAGTGAGGACCGGGGCTGGAGAGGTGCTCCTTCATTTTTACCTAAGACTGGTGGTCAGGGAGGGTCCTCCCGGGAAGTTGACATTTAAGACATGATCTGATGGATGAAAAGGACCCAGACATAGGCAGAGCCGAGGAAAGAATGTTCTGGACTGCAGCCCAGTGCGTGCAGATCTCTGTGGTGGAAGGAGCTTGGCATACTGGAGAGACTTGAAAAGAAGCTGATGTAGCTAATTTCAGAGGCGAGGAAGAAACTAGAAAGAGATGTGATCAGAGAGGGGGCAGGAACCAGCCTGTGCTGGGGGCTGGGGGCCACGGCAGAGACTCTGGATTCCATGGGGCATTCCACGGACCATGAGTGACATGAACTGATTTACAGTTTTAAAACTACGCTTTTATTAAAATTACATTTCTAAACTGCATTGTTAGTAACATAGGTACTGCAGCAGATAAAGACAACTCCTTCCCTAAAGAAAAGCCAAGTACAGGGGTGCCTGCGCAGCCCAGGTGGTTGAGCATCTGACTCTTGATTTGGGCTCAGGTCATGATCTCGGGGTCATGAGATCGAGCCCCATGTCAGACTCCATGTTTAGTGCAGAGTCTGCTTGAGATTCTCTCTCTCTCCCACTGCCCCTGCCCCGGCTCAGGTGCTAAATAAATAAATAAATAAATAAATAAATAAATAAATAAAATCTTTTTTAAAAGGGGGGGCGAGTACATTCTGCCTATTTTTATTTAGGTGTCAGTGAGTGAGACAGAAGGTAACTGTCCGGACAATTCCGTGACATTAAAGTCACCTAGTGTGGTCAGAAAGGGAAGCCCCAGGAGGATCCCAAAGGGCACCGAGCCTTGTGGAAAGCAACACAGAGGAGGTGGGGCCTCCAGGTGGAAAAAACCCAAGCAAAGACTCAGAAGTGGCAGGAAACATATTTGGGGGATCCAGGAGAGTCTCCGGCTGCAAGCTCGTGAAGGAAGAGACCCCATAGCTCTCTGTGGGGATGTCGGTATAATGACCACATCCGATGAGGCCAATTTCCTCAAATGAAGTTGTATCAAACTCTGAATCAGACAGTGGAGCTGCTTTCCTAGATCCTGTGGGCCAGAGCAGATTCCCAAAATTTCAGTGCTCATTTGTTCCTTCCAGGCCAGCTGGTCTTTAAGGGTGACCTTATTAATTTAACTCAATTCAAGAGAGAGTACAGATTGTTACTGTGAAAGGCTGGAAAACCTGTGGGTTTCTCCACCACGGCTCTAGGTAGGGGTGTAATTATGTTGGGTCAGGAAGGTGTCATTGGTGCCCCAGGACACTGGTAGCTGCAAGTCCTACCACCGGGATAGGTTGGGACCCGGCGGCAGGTGCAGACAGACTCCTGCTCCTGCCTACTCATTATCTCAAGGAAATTAGCTTTGGCTAGTTAACACTTCCCTGATGCACTGGTCCTAAGCAAATTCCAGAGAGCTGTGTTTCCACTGAGCCAAACTTTGATTAATTTACACTTTACATTCTACACAAGGCTTGGGCATGCTAACACAAATCCCCAGCTATTAATTGCATATTTTGGTATGGTAAGAGAATTCGGGGTGGAGGGGCAAAAGTCTAAGAACATGATGAAGCCAGAGCAAGATGTAAAAATGCACATCATCCTGTGGTCTTCTGCGTGACTTGGACACAGGCCAGAAATTTGCCCTGAGATTCTTAACAGCCAAAGGAGGAAGGAAAATGCAATCTCTTATAAAATTGGTATTTTCCATTAAATCAAAGCAAACTAATCGTTGAGAAGCATGCAGCTCCTGAGACCCGCTTGAAACTTCTCACATATGTGCTAATAAAGAGGATGTGATAAGAACATTTTCTGCTTCTGGTGTTTCTCAATGTAGACTAACAGCATGACACTATAATGCAATTTAAGAAAATTAAGTCTAGAGGAAGCAAAAAACCCTGCAGATCATGTGAGCAGTTCTTTGGTGGTTCTGCATCATCTGAGGGTAAAGTTTAAAGCAGAGCATTGATCGAGTGCACTAGACAACCTCCACGCAATCTTCCATAAAACAAGTCCAAGTCAAGCTTTGGCAGAACTCACATGAATAATACTTACTCAACAAACACCTGTCAAGAACTCGTTTGTTCAGGGGGCAGCTAGGTTAAGTGTCTGACTCTTGATTTCGACTGGGGTCCTGATCTCTGGGTCCTGGAATCAGCCCGATGTTGGGCTCTGTGCTCAGCATGGAGTCTGCTTGTCTCTCTCTTCTTCTGCTCCCCTCCTGATCTCTCTCTTTCTCTCTCTCTCAAATAAATAAATAAAATCTTAAAAAAAAAAAAATTCATGTGTTCAATGTTGGGCCCTGTGCCTGGAGCTGGGGACAGATGAGTGAGTAGACCTACCCCCCCCGCCCGTGAAATACTTCCAATGTGTTCCAGGAGATGGACATATGGCAGATTACAGCAAATGCAATGTGTGGGCCAGAGGGTGGGGGAGGGGCAAGCAAACCTCTTCACAGGCCCAGATGCCCTCAGAGTCATGACCGGGTGCATCGGGGGGGTGGGGGGAAGGGGGAGGCGTGTCCTTCTAACCTGATGCTGACCCTCCATAGAAGAAGCGAGCCTTCCTAGTTTGGATTTAATTGTCTAGCCTCCTTTTTCATCACCCTGCTTTGCAAGAACAGCAGATAGAAGGAGAGGTACAGACATACATACTGCATTTTAGGCAATCGCCATCAAGAGAAATTAATGGCAATGAGCACAAAATTTCCAGAGAAACACAAGGGCCATTCTTTTCAAAGTGTTTTTTTTTTTTTTTAAGATTTATTTATTTATTTTAGAGAGCGAGAGAGAGCACGAGCCAGAGGGAGCAGAGGGAGAGAGAATCCGAAGCAGACTCTGTGCAGAATGCGGGGCTGGACACAGGGCTTGATCCCACAACCTCTGAGATCACGACCTGAGTGGAAACCAAGAATCAGTGACCTAACCGGCTGTACCACCTAGGCGTCCCCACTCTTCTCCGTGTTTCGCAGTAACATTTTGTCTACTTCTGTTGGCAGGCCAGTACCGGGCTATCGACGAGCCTCTTCTCGAATGTGTAAGTCAGCCGCTTCCTTTCCCTACTGGTCTGTTTTGACATTACAAAGTGAGTGGCTCTTTTCAAGGTACTTGGTGAATTTAAAGAAAACAACAACAACAACAACAAACTTTTCCAAATGGCATGATTTCCTAGCAGAGAAACCTGCATTTCAGTTCTTGGGTATAAACTGTCTTCCCACAATATACATTGTAAATCAAACCATCGCACTGTGCGTCTTAAACGTACACAGTGATGTATCTCAATTAAATTGGAAAAAATAAGTGGATAATAAGGCATTAATAGACAGAGAGGCAAAAAAAAAACTGCCTTTCAATTCCTCAGCTATGAAATGCAGATAAAAATTAACTCACATGGCCACTGCGAAGATGAAATAAGATGAAAATGTCACCACATGGTGCTGGCAAGGGTGTGAAGAGAAAAGCACTTCCTAAGGCTCATGGTGAAATATTAAATTGGAACTAACTTTCCGGAAAGCCGTTTCATAATAACCAATCAACCTAAAAATGTCCACTTTCTTTGGCCCAATAATCCTATGGTTGGGAATTTAAACTAAGAAACTAATCTGAAATTTGGATTAATATGTAAACATACTCATTTATATTTTATAAAAATATAGTTAAACAGAAACACTGGAATCATTTTAGATATTCAATAAGAGAAAAAAACATTGATTAGATTATGATGTATTCCTATGATGAAGCCATTAAGAGTACTGACAAGAATTTTAATGACTAAAGAAAATTTGAAATATAATTATAACATGAACTCAGCTACCTAATGTCATAAGTTTATTGTTAAATTGTACATAATTTAAATAGTTTTAACTAGCACGTCTATAGATGATATATAGAATAGGTAGGTGAGAGGGAGAGAGAGAATCTGCTTGTAAAATCATTGGTTCTTTATTGTTTGAAAGACTTCTTTAAGAATCAAACTAAAGCTATGGATCCTCACCCTAGGACACACACACATAATCAATCAATCAACAAATCAATCAATCAATCACAAAATATTTTATAAAGTAGGAGACTTACGGACAGGAAAATACTGAGTTTTTAGTTAAGAATCCCTGCTATTGATAGTAGGTAGGTAATAGATTATTAGATAAATAAATGTACCTCATTATATTCAAAATAAAATTCTGTCTCCTTCTCATTCTGGAAAGAGATAAGCCAAAATATTTATATTTGGTCCTGGGGGCAAGATTCTCAGGGTCTGGTGTGTAGATTCTCTACAGACCTGGGGTGGTGGTTGCTGTCCCTCCTGGTGTCCCTCTGTGTCCTGACCCCACAAAGTCTAGCAAGGGGACTAAAGATGGGCTCTGTCTCAGATTCTTCCAGCAGGTCCAAGATTTCCCAAAGAGACTGTGCTCTGCGGAGTCTTGGTAGTTGCCATAATAGTATGTTAATGATGCTCATGCAACAAATATCCATCTGTCAAATCCCAAAAGGAGTTGCTCCAGGTCAGAACTTACTTCTTTGTGCAGTTCTGGTGGAGAACAGCCTGACCACCTTCCCCCTCCTTTGCCAGGTCAATTGTGAAAACCCCTGGAGTTCCCCTCCTGGCAGCCTTGCTTTGCTCTGGGCACTCAGCTCTACCAAAACTCAGTACATTAACTAGAGAGAAGGAATCTACCATGTTCTGAGCTCCTGTCATGAGCAGGTGTCAAAGTAGAACCTTTATGGACAGCACTTAATCTCTGACTACAACCAAATAAAGCATCTTTAACCATCCCCAATTTACAGACTGAGCATGTGAGTCAGAGGAGTTAAGTAACCTCCCCAAGATCATAAAGTGGACCCACAGTTTAGATCTAGGAGTGGGTGACTCCATCCTGAATCCATGCTGCCCCCAAGCAGACTGATCCTACCTGGTTTCCCACCCAAGAACTCCTGTCTGGGCCCTGCTTGACTCCTAAGACCAGACCAAGAAGGCAGGGTTTCATAGCCACAATGCCTGGCTGTTAGGGGCACAGTATCCATGCAACACTTCCAATGATCCCACTCCAACTCTTGTGTTCAGGGACCTAACCTCTTTCCTTTGGGTCATCAAGCTCTCCCTTTCTATTCTGTTCCTACTGCTGGGTCACTGGGTTGGTCCCTGTTCTCTTAGACTTGAGACCCTAGAATTTTATAACGTCATAACTTGCCTGAGCCCTCAGTTCTTATAGGACTCGAGCCTCGCTTTCCTTTAGGAGCGCTCAGGTAGGAATCAAGGGCAGCACACTGAAAGCCAAACTTGTAGTCTTCAGGGAGCCCACCTCCTTTATGCTGTCCCAGGGAGAACACTGACTTACTCTTGCATCAAATGAGCAGAGTTACTTAGAGCCCAAGGAAAGCCTAAAAGGCCTTCCAGATGGGCTGGTGAGTCCCCATGGCACTCCTGCTGGCCTGGAAACCAGGCCCATTACGGATGGTGTCTTTACTTGTACCAAACGGCTTTGACAGAGCAGTGATGGAAAAAGTCATACACCTGGATGCTTGGGGCTGGTAAGCAACTTGCTCACATACACTAGAGAACTGGAATCATGCAGAGCTGAAATTTAAACACAAGCCTCTAATTCCAAGTCCCTCCACTATAATAAAACCACCTCCTAGATTGTTGTGTTTATACAACGAAATAAAGTACATAAAGCATCTAGCACATATAAAGTCTTTAACAAACGTTAGAGGGGCTTTAAGAGGAGGATCGGTGGCCTTGCTTTATCTCTGAATTTCTGCAATTGTCTTTAGTATAGCTGCCACAGTAATATTTATAGCTACTATTTATTGAGTGCCAACCATCAGCCATTTTGCTCAAAATTTTACATGCATTGTCTCATTTAACTTTTGGTTGCCAACATCACTTTAATTCTGGGTGATTGTATTAGTGCATGTGTATATCATCTAACTCAAAAATAAATTTGAAGTGGCCTCCAATAAAGATATCTCTAACTGAAGAAATTACAGGACAAATGAAAAATTTTAAATCACACTCATCATTACACTGTAAATCTAGTTAAAATCTATTATTTTATGTACTTACTTATTTAACAAGCATATATTAAGAATCTACTATGGGAAAAAAAAACATATAGTTAAGGCTATAATGCAGTAACTTTGACTTTAAGTCTTCAGTCTTTGACTATAAAATAATTGGGAGTCCAAAGAAAGAGTTAGTGGGCTGTCCAGTTCCCATAGTGTGACTAGGATTGGCAGGGCTCTGTTCTTCACCAAGAAGTGAAATGCTCTCTGCAGAATAACAAAGGAGCTTAAAAACTCAGGCTCTGAGCCCAGGCTCACACAGTCTGCCATTGCACTCTCTGGTTAGAAGTCAAAATTATGGATGTTGCAACACAAGGAATGCCCTAGACTCTTCGCTCTTCATCTTAGGTTCAGAACAATTTTAATACCTGGCGCTGGATTCTAGTGTGGATGTGGCAGAAGACCTGGTTCTGCCCATTGATGGCACCTATGGCCTGTGTGGCTTTCAGAAGTCACCATTCCCAGGTTCTATATTTGTAAAAGAAAGATATAAGTTCTTAATCATGATGGCCAAACTGGGGGATGTGCTTGAAAATCTCTTGTAACTGGACTTGTTATTCATAGCCATGGCCATTTGGAGTCTTAGAAGAAACTTTAAGAGAGATAAGGGATCTTTCTGTATGAAAGACCACTGAGATTTGTATCCGGGCTGAAACACAGCACAATGCTGAATCCAAATCCCAACACATAGGTGCAGATTCCAGAATTTCTGTGATGATGATTACATCTCTTACTGAGTGGTACCCAATCCTGCCATCCCCAGTATTCAGACTTGGAGCTCATTACTGGTATATAGAAATACAACTGAAATTTGTGTATTGACCATATATCCTGACACCTTGCTGAAATGTTTATTAGTTCTAGTAATTTTTTAGTGGGTTCCTTGGAATGTTCTACATTCAAGATCCCATCATCTGCAAATAGATCTCCTTTCTGCTTTGAAAGGCTCATGTGATTACACTGGACCACTCGGGTGATCCAGGATAATACCCCTATTTTAAGGACAGCTGATGAGTAATCTTAAGTACATCCTCAATGTCCCTTCATAGCAGCACCCAGATTATTCTTTGATCGAATAACCAAGAATGGGAATATTTGAGGACATCTTTAGGATTCTGCCTACCACAAGAATTTAACTGCCCAGATCCCAGATTCTTAAATGTTTCCAGCTAAGAGAATTTATACCACTCCCCTAGCTAGCACTTTTGTTATGACTGTACCTTCCCTTGACTCACTCAACCATTCCCTCCTGCTTAGGAAAGGAACTTTGCTGTGGCAGCTCTGGATGGAGACTACAGGGATGATGACTACGAAGACCCTGAGCTTCATGTGGTAGAGGCGTGGAAATCGATACAAATATTACCAGCCAGGCCTATAAAGGAATCAGAATATGCAGGTAACATCTGGGGTCTAAAATCTGGGAATGCACATCCACAATGCAATACTGCACAGCAATTAAAGCCGCAGATTCCGAATTAAACAACTCTAGGCTAAAATCCTGCCTCCATGGTTACTACTTAAGCAAGCCTAAAAAATTCATTTTCTCTACCTGAAAATGGTGTTCATAATAACAGAACTTACCCTCTGAGAGTTCTTTCAAGTTCTCACCAGGGGACTTGGCACAGTGTCAGAGCTCTATAACTACAGGTTGTTACTATCAGGATGTTCTTCCTGAGTCCTAGGAACAACTGGTGAGCATGGCAGAGGGTGGACAGGCAGGGCTGTGGGCAGCATGGGAAACTTAGGACAGAGTTTGCATAATGGGGAGTAGCATGAAACAGAAGAATTTTCAACTTGGCTGACTTGTTTTATAGGTAGCCGGCATATATGTAGCCCCAGGACATGGCAGCAAAGCCAAGCTTCTTAAGAGTAGGGAAGATATAATTTCACATCCACCCTGCCTCTTTCCAACTGGGGCACACGGGGCAGCCTCAGCAAGTTCTCTGAATTGTAGATACAGAACAGGGCTGTAAGGGAAAAGAGGAGGAAGCACTTGTGATTTCTGAGGACCTGACCCACCGAGACGAGTCTACAGAAGTTTCTTTGGAAAGAATCACCTTGTGAATAATGATGAAACACCTTCGTTCATTCACTCAGCAAGCAATTACTGAGTATCTGCTGTGTGCAGTTATGGTGTTAGGACTGATCAAGTGACACAAAGATAAACAAAGCATGATCCCCATTCTCAGGAAGGTCACAATCCAGTGGCAGATGCAGAAAGATCAACAGATAAATAGGACAGGCTATAGCAGGTGTGTAATACAGAAAGAACCAGGGGTGGGTGCTGGTGGGTGGGATCTAGAAAGATTTGCAAAGAGCGTGACACAGCACAAGGCTTGAAGATAAGCAAGAGTTCCCAGGGCTGAGAGAGTGAAGGATTCTCAAGTCCAGACTCTGGTATTTACACGTACGGACGGGGAGGAATACACGTCCTCCTGCTTGGGCTTCATCTCCTAATCTGTCCAGTCAAAGTACAGCTGCTTGCCTCATACCTACGTTGTGATGATTCAATGAGTTGGTATATATACATATCTTATAAACTGTAATGTGCTGAGTCCACCTAAGGTAAGACTTTGAATTTTTCTCTTTTCACAGACACACGCTGTTTCAAGGGTGTGATGGACACTCCCCATCCCTTAGACACCAAGACCTCTGTCCCCACAGAGCGCCATCCCCAGCACACACAGATGGGGCTGGAAAAAGTGAGTATAGATTTGGCCATGTGAACCAAACATGGGCAGGGTAATTCTTAGCAGCTGGGAGCTTCCCTACCTCTCAGTCCCAAGGCATCTTGCTGGTGATGAGCATGCTGAGTTCAGCGGGGGGCGGGGGAACTGGCTTGTATAACTGCTGACATCTTGGTCCTGGGGAAGGAGCACCAAGAAGGGAAGAGAACTAGCATTTGGGAAGGTTTTCTGTGAGGAGTCAGGGTGGAGACTCTTCACAAACACCACACCTGAGGCTTGCCTCCTTGACCAGAAGCAGAATTTGGACTCAGATCTGGTTGATAATGACATATCATTTTGCCCAAACTGTAGGCCCAGTGCTGGCAGCTGGTAACTGGGTAGTAAGAAGTAAGTCAAACAACCTCTCTGAGCCCCATTGTAACCCCATCTGTAAAACAGGACTAAAAATCCCTACCGGGTTTTACTTCAAAAGGCCATTTGGACACTACATTACAAGAGACCTATGAAAATATCCTGTAAATACAAATGCTCTAAACATATACATAGAATTTCATTTTTAACAACACTTTTGCTAATGCTTTTATTTCCTTCATGCAGAAATACAAATGAATCACCCCTATAGATTCAGGGTTTACCAGGCATGATGCTATGTGACATTTTGTGTCCGTATTCTCTGTGTAGACATATTTCATGCAAGAGAGTCCCGTTGTCACATAGATCTGGTTTTTTTTCTTTTCTTATGAAGTTCTGCTTATAAAATGATTTCCCACATGATAAACAAGCATTAATGGCATAATCTTTATAGATACATCATACCCCATTATGGGATTTTTAATTAACTTACTTAACCATTGAGAGAAAACATTTTAAAAAGCCTTGGTACATATTGTGAAATTTCTTCCCTGAAAAATTGCTTTGATTTACCTTCCCAGAAGCCCTGTATGAGAATGTGCACCTCACAGGACTCTCACCAAAACTGGCCATTACTTTATTAATCACATTTTTAAAAGGATTTCACTGTCCTTTTTTAAATTTGTACCACATTTATTAGTGAGCATGAACATGCTTTTAAATATTTATAGTGCATTCTTCCTTGTGCATTATTTGTTCACATTGTCTATCTATTTAACTTGAGGGCTTCTGTTAATATAGATAAGCAAAGGAAACTACAAATATTACCGAGCAATGTCATTTACCCAGAACACATCCAGGAGCGTTTGGGAGAACAGGATGAGGGATGAAATATTGAACACTTCTGCTTTACACAGGCACCAAGCTAAACTTCAGTCATTCATTCAACAAATGCATTCAAGAAATATGTGTTGAGTGCCTGCCATGGACCACAGTGATAAGCTCCCACATGCATTAGTAAATAACAAAGGCCCTGTGCTCATAAAACTTACATACTGGTGGGAGGAGACTGGAAATAAATAAACAAACAAATAAATAATAGAAATATTAAGTTTTAAGTGATAAAAACTTTGAAAAAAATCATTAAAGCAGGGTAAGAGTAAGTCAAGCAAGGTCTTCCTGAGTAGAGATGGGAATGAATGAATAAATGAATGAATGAATGACATTTAATCCTTAAAATATCCTTGCAAGATGAGCATTATAATCCCCATTTTAACAGCTCCAATTTTTTTTAAGATTTTATTTATTTATTTGACAGAGAGAGAAAGGTGGGGGGAGCACAAGGAGGGGGAGTGGCAGGCAGAGGGAGAGGGAGAAGCAGGCTCCCCACTGAGCAGGGAACCCAACGCAGGGCTTGATCCCAGGACCTTGGGATCATGACCTGAGCCGAAGGCAGACGCTTAACTGACCGAGCCACCCAGGAGCCCCAACAGCTCCAACTTTTATGAGCTCTTTGAGCCAGTTACTTACCCTCTCTGAGCCTCTATTATCTTAGCTATAAAATCTCATCACTGTTAATGATAATACATACAGAGCACGGTGCCTAGCATGAAGTGGTCAATAGAGGACCTCTCCTTGAGAACAGGGACCATTTTAGCCCCAGCACTTAGCACAGTAACCTTTATGTAAGAGGATCTCAGGAGATATTGGTTAGATGGAAGAAAATGGACAAACAAATAAACTCTCAATCATTTGAACTGAATCTTGAAATGTGAGTAGCTGTTTAATAGGAAAAGAGATCCAGGCTCGACTGACTTCTGTCCACATGGAACCCTTTTTCAGCCTGGTCTTCAAAGTTCTCAGGTGAATATTTGCTACTGTCAGCAAGATCTGCCACTGGGGCAGCCCCCACCCACCCACCCCAGGGCTTGTGGGACAGGGAGGAAGATGCTTTAGGGCACTCACCTCCGGAGCATAAAGCATGTTCAGGAAACGGTAAGAATTGCAGAGCGACTGGACCAGTGGCTGAAGATACAAGTTCTGGCCTGGTTATTAAAGAATAGAGACTGTTCACCTAAAAACTGGAGCTTCCCTTTCCCCCAGAACTCACCGATTCATTCCCCTTTACATGTAAGTATCCCTTTACGAGAAAAATTTTTTTAAAGATAATTCTCGTTGGAGTTTTTAAAACAACTATACCAGAATTTAAGCCTCCACTCTTAATTATTTATATTTCCTTCATAATATCTTTGTAGCTTTCTGTTACAATACAGAGTTCTTCCTTCATCTAGATCACTTTGCAAGTGGAACTATTATCTCAGCATATCAAGTCAAATGAAATCATGTAAGAAAGAGAATATGGGAGACTCAGCACAATTTTGGCCAGGGGGCAGGGTGAGGGGAGGTTGGATTATTCATTAAGTAAAGACTTGGCCTCAATTCAGATAAGGAGGCAGTTTTACTCTTATGACCAATGTTTGAACAATCACATTTTTATGAGAAGCAGATTCTGTTTTTCATTATAGCCCATTCTCAGGAGTTAATTCTTACTAGTTCTGCATTCTCTGTAATCTCTGTTGAGACTCAACTAGCTGTGAAAGGCATCTTCACTAATCCTGACAAGAGGCCAGTTCCAACCTAGACTCCTTAGGTTGGTTATAGCTGTCTTCAACCACTAAGCCTCTGCCCATTTTCCATTTACTGAGCACTTGCTATATGCCAAGCACTGTGCTCAACAATGAGGATGAAAAATGAGCCAGTGCCCACAGTCTAATGGAAGAGGCAGTGGCCCAAACCAGCAGTTCCAATGTAATGCGAAGTGCTAAGACAGAGGTGAGCATGCTTCACAGAAGCTGCATCACTTAGCCCAGCTAGAGGCTTTTGAGAAGCCTTCTGGAAGAAGCAGTGCAAAGCGGTCTTTGACATATCATTTCATGGTCATCAGTGGTTCTCATCAGTGGTACTCATCACGGACCATTTTGCCCCTAGGGGATGGTTGGCAATGTCCAGAGACAGGCTGGTTGTCAGGACCGGGGGTAGTGCTACTGACATTTAAGGGTGGAGGACGGGGATGCTGCTAAGATTACTACAATACTCAGGGCAGCCCCCACAGCAAGGAATTATCCAGCCCCAACTCTTAATGCTGCTGAGGTTGAGAAATCTGTGTTACAATGTGTTATAATATGTTGTGAGCTCAGACTTGTGTGCACGTCTGAGCCCTTTAGAATCCAAGCTCTTATTCTTCTTTTTCCCTCATAATCTAGCACTGATTCAGGCTTACAGTAGGCACGAATAAATATTTATCTGACAGAAAATGGGAGCAGCCCCCTTGAAAGGGGCAGAAAATATTCCCAGCCCTGGGACCCTATACTAACACCATCCAAGGGCACTTACTGCTGGGGAAGGTGCGGGGCAAAGAAGCTCTCACACACAAAAGGGCCAAATGGATCCGAATGTCCAAAGACACCAAATTAATTTGGCCACCAAAGAGGAAAAGTGCAGGAATGCTGAGGAAGCCCCATCTCTGAGATTCTAAGTACACAGGGCCTACCTAAGACAGAAAGAGAGAACCTCTACTGCTCCTGTGACCAGGCTAGCAGTGGGAGGTGAGCATAAGCATTGAGAGACCCCATCCATAAGGCAGGCACACAGAGAAGGCTGAAAGCTGAGGGTGCAACAGAATGTTGAAAAACCCATCCAGCACCCCAGCCTCCACAGAGTAACCTGAAGGAACTGGAAGCTCTGAAGGAGGCCATAGCAATAACAACATCCAAAGGACACTCAACTCTTGCTAGACTGATAGACCAGCAGAAGAGCCACACACATTCCAGGCATATACTATGGTTCGGTGTTCCACAGAGGAAAAGAACTAGACATTGAACATCACCGGATAAGGAGTAACAGGGGATTCAATGATCCTTCTCCCTCCTCCCATCCACCTTGTCTACCTCAACTTGATGCCAATAAAGAGTGACATTACAAGCTGTATTAGTCAGGGTTAGAACCATAGGAGATAGATGATATAGATAGATGATTGATAGATGATAGATAGATAGATAGATAGATGATAGATGATAGATGATAGATAAGATGATTGATAGATAATTGATAGATGATAGATGATTGATAGATGATAGATAATTGATAGGTAGATGATAGATAATTGATAGATGATAGATAGATGATTGATGGACAGATGATAGATAGATAATTGATAGATGATAGATGATAGATGATAGATAATAGATAGATGATAGATGATAGATAGATAATTGATAGATAGATGATAGATGATAGATAATAGATAGATGATAGATTAATAGATAGATAGATGATTGATAGATAGATGATAGATAGAGAGATAGAGCTAGACAGACTAGCCCTAAGTTCTAGTCTGAGTCCGAAAGGTCTAAGAACCAAGAGAACAAATGATGTAAGTTTCAGTCTAGGGCAGGAAAAGACCAATATCGCAGCTCAACACACTCACGTACAGAGACAAAATTCTCCTTTCCTTTGCCTTTTTTACTCTATTCAGGACCCAACGAATTAACTGATGCCCATCCACACTGGGGAGGGCAATCTGCTTCACTCGGTCTACTGACTCAAATGCCAATCTCATCTGGAAACACCTTCACAGACATACCCAGAAATAATGTTTAACCAATTATCTGGACATTCTGTGGCCCTGTCAAGTGGACACATAAAATTAACCATCATAGACCCCACTGCTGACCTAGGCTTGAAGGCTTTCAAAAGCCCTGGGCATCATTATGCTATCTTCATTTTCTTCTTACCCTCTTGCCTAGCCCTTGGAGAGCCCTTAATGGTTGGCCAATGCCTTTAATAATATTAATAATGAAGGCTAACAACTCTCCAGCTTTATTGGTGCCATTCTCTGTTCTAGGCACCTTGCACAGTGTGTCTTATGTAATCACCCCATCCTCTTGACATATCAGGACTTTTGTTACCTTAATTTCACAAATGAGGAAATTGAAGCTCAGAAGTTTAAGCGACTTGCCATGTTCTCACAGCTGGCATGTGATGAAGGTGAAATCCCAAACGGGCATCCACACATGGCCACACTCTCATCAGCCTGCTTGATCACTATCACATACTTGACCATGTACATTGGTCTTCGTAATAACTCAAGGATCTGAATTGACTAATTTCCCTATTAAAAGGATGCAAAAATTTAAGGCTTATAATATGACAAATGCCTTCCCAAAGTTTCACAGCAATAAGAGGCAGGACTGGATCTCAAACACGAGTATTTTTATGCCAAACACCATCAGAGGTCACTACACTGGTCGCTGGCACGGTGCTTCACATATTTACATTTATTTACATGTATTGACTGACTGCCGACTATACACATATGGTGATTCTCTAAGAATGATGAGTCCAGGGACTTATGCCTTGACCCTGGGGAGTAACCATACAGAGTGGCAACATATTCGACAGTATCATAGTCACAACTGAAGAGATGATGATGCCACATTGTCTTCCACAGGTGGACAAACCCATTTTCAAGGATTCCAGAAGCCAACATGTTAAAGGTAAAGTCAAGTTACAAAGTTTGAAATGCAAGGATATTTCTTTGCTTCCAAGAACTTTGTTGGTGGTCACAGGTTATCTTTGTTGGTGGTCACAGGTTATTGTAAAAAAGACGATCTATTGGACTATACTTCATAAAATAAGTACTTTTGGAAAGGCTCTCCCACATCTTAAGCCTTTTTATCACCTTACCTTATTGATGAAGAAACTGATTGTGAAAATTCATATTCCATAGCTGTGCGATTTCAGAAAGGAATTGCTTTGAAACATATGGGTTGCATTAAATATATAACTAAGTTATTTCTCCAAGCATATCCCCAGTAAAATCACAAGATAGAAATCTAATTTTAAAACGTTGATTAATTCATATGAAAACAGATTTTTAAAGCTTTAGGCAAAGCAACTCAATTTAGAGATGAAGATACAGGTAGAAAGCTGAAAGGAAATAATCAATTTCAGGAGTGCTGGAAGCACAAATGGAGGACAGCCAAAGCAATTTAATTGGATCCACATTATAGCTCCTCTCATCATCTCCCCCATACTCCATCTTCTCTCACAATGTCCAACTGGAAAAGATGGCAATGACTTACACTTCCCGATACTTGAAACATATCAACTTCATCCTTTATGGGTCTAATGCTATATTCTATAACATATTATTAACATCACATTTTCTTTCATGGGAAGGTATAACAGTTAGGGTCCTAGTAGGAGACAGAGGGTGCACCCAAATTAGGATGACTTAAGGAAACTTATTTACAAAGGAACCATTTACTGAGGTGTGTAGGGTGTAGGGATGATGTGGGAACTGGGGCTAAGAGCAGTTGTGCTGTCACCACCCCTAGCCCAAAGGGATGAGGGGACAGTTACAGAAAACCAGAAGCACACCACCTTGAGGGGAGGGACACCACCAGCACCAGTGAGCTTCATGGAGGGGAAGCCAAAGGAACACACACCCACCAACTTCCCTCTCCAACCTGCCTCTGAATTCCTGCAGGGACTAAACCCAACCAGAAACCAGAGGACAGGGCAGTCAATATGTGGTCCATGGTGGTTGGTCCCCCAGGGATGGAGAGGCAGATGGAGATGGTAAAGGATGGAGGGGCATCCTGGGGCACAGAGAATATCCCCATGACAGGAAGCATGGTGGAAGAAGCAACCAGAGTAGCCAAAACACAGCTTCTGCCCCTCCCTGGCTGTGTGACCTTAAGTAAGGCACCTAACCTTTCTGGGTCTTCCTTTCCTCCTCTTTAAATTGTGAAGTGGGCAGGGTTTTTATGACTATTCAATTCAGGAGCATTCACAGAGGCAGAAAAATCTAGCTATTCTCAAGTCCTTCCTCCTCTCGGTCCTGCACAGCCTGACAGACCCGTCTGTCTCCCTTCCATACCACCCCTAAAACTCCCCCAAAATAGGAGCTTCCAAATCAGTGCCTCTTTAGTCCTTAAAATGTCAGTACCTTCAATGTACACAGCACTTGATTCAGAGCTCTTCTCCATGAACTCATGTATTTTAGTCCGTGGAAACCAGGTCAATTATGTAAACAAAGTATTTTCACACCTCTTGAGAGAGAAAGGGACCAGAAGCACTGAGGAATCCCAGATCAGACCATAATCATTTGATACACAAATGCTGCACATCATTCTAGAACCTTCACAGGCACTCGTTGAGAAATGAGAGCAGACAAGAAATGGACCTCACAAGTCCTTCCTTTTTTACGGTTCACCATAGACATCCAACTTCACTTCTTTGATTGCAGAAGCTTCTTTGACCATTATTCTACATATCAACATGTCTGTTGGTCTATTTAGATGCTTCTAACCCCCATTCCAACATGCATGTTGGGGGAGCACTTCTCCCCACACCCCCAAGCAGTCCTTGGGCACCAGTTGTGTCTACAACTCAACCCAATCCTGATACTATCCACCCAGAGGCAGCATCAGATTCCAAGTTGAGGGCTCAGTCCTACAAGACTGTCCCCACTTCAGATGCCAGTCAAAAACTCAGATTGTCACCTGTGCTTCCGATAGACCGGCGATAGATTGGAGGTGAACCCCCCCTTCTTAGGTTCCACTAATTTGCTAGAGAGGCTCACAGAACTCAGAGCAACATTTTACTCACTAGATTACAGTTTATAATAAAGGGATATAAGTCAGGAAGAGCCAGACGAAACAGATGCACAGGATAAGGTATGTGGAAAAGGGTGTGCCCCCCTTGCTTCCTTTATCTCCGACCCAAAAGGTTTCCAAACTCTGACCTTTTTGGTTTTTATGGCGGCTTCATTACATTGGTATAATTGATGAAATCACTGGGCATTGGCAAGTGAACTCAATATCAATCTTCTCTCCCCTCCCTGGGGTGAGTGTGGGAGATACAGAAGGTTCCAACTCTCTAGTCACACAGTGGGCTCCCCCATCCCCCACAACCATCCTCAGGTGCAGTCCAAATGTCACCTCCTTAACATAAGAAAAGACACCTTTATAGTTCTCATCACTTAGGAAATTCCAAGGGATTTATGAGCTCTGTGCCAGAATCCTGGAGATTAGGACCAAATATATATTTCTTATTATAAATCACAGTATCACAACTATCCATGCATATATTTATCTATACTTTGCCTGAGCTCACAAAGATATTGGGGTAGTTAACAAAAACTTACATAGTAAAATAGAAGAAAATAAAAATAAAATCCTAGCGTAAATCTAGGTAGACTATAACATTAAGGCAAAGATAAAATTCAGGATCCTCGGGTACACATCACTACATTCTATTAAAATTAAACTACTGACTCGCCTCCTCAGCTTTCTGGTAGTCTAAGCAAACAGGGGATCATGCTTCTTTATGTGATATTAATTGCCCATAATAGAAAAGCAAACTAATTCCTAAGAAAGCACAACAAGGGCATATCTTTCAGATTTATGTCAGGGCTCTCAATTTTGCAGCAAATGTAGGCTAGTATACAGGGACCATGGCTGCAAAAATATGACTGTTTTTGAAAAGGAGCCCCCCATGTAGACTGCATACAGGGCATCAGTGAAAGCAGAGCTCCCAGAATTGAGGCTTGTAGGGAGTAGGGGGAGGTTGCATGGAAAACTTCTCCAGTAAGAGTTATTCTCTTTATACCCTCTCTTCCTACACTTCCCTAATTGATGGTTCTCCATCACCCCCCAGAGCTCTAAGGAACCACACAAAGAAGGAAGCTCAAAGGGGCAAAATTAATATGAATACCCCCTTCTTCAGGATCAGGCATCTTGCTAGAGAATGCTTGAATGATTTATGTGTTTATTACAAAATTCTGTATTTTTGATGCAAACATATTCTCAGATAATTTATTCATCCTCACAAAATGTCATGGAAAAAAACATATTGGGTGGTTCAGCAATGACAGAATTTTATGGTGATATTTTTCATCAAGTTGAGCAGTTATAGATTTATGTTAATGTACATTTCATGTCATTTTTCTTGCAATCGTATTCTGACATTATCTGGAAACTGTCAGATTTCAAGACCTCATCTTCCCTGAAGCTTGGATTTTTTTTTTCATTTCTAAAAATGGGTGAAAGTTTATTTGGGGGCAAAGTATTTATATATAATATAGTAGTATAGCTTGTGTATGATGAGCCCATTAGCACTCACCACAAATCCAGAAGAAACTGTCTTCTTTTCAGAGAAGGATAGCTATAATGTTCAAATATATGCAGCTTAGCTTCTTAATGCTGAGAATAAAGGATGTTAAAGTGAATTTCTCTTTGCCTCAGATGTGAACCAAGCACAGACTGTGAACCAATTTTCTTTGAGGTGACAAGCATACCATATGCAAGAATGAATTTATAACGAAATACAATAAACTATCCAAGAAAAGAAAGAGAATTATGCACAGGTGACTGAACATGTACATCCAGAAACATGAGCTTGTTGAAAAGAAGCAAAATAGAATTCCACATAATGCCATCAAAGGCCTTTCTTCTAGTTTGCTTTTAGAGGAATTTGGATGCCAACAAAATTAGAATTAGAGATGAGTTTGAATTAATCTGGTTTAACTCCCTCATTTTATACAAGGAAATCTAGCAAGAGAAGTGGCTCGCTCAAGGTCACAGAGACCAGAACCCAGGGTTTTGGCAATGTTTTCCAAGGTTTTGCTGTAAAATCCATTCTGCAAACTCCCCCTCCTATTCCGCTATCGCACACATCCAGACTCTGCAAGTTTTCCAAAATTGAACCAGGAAGAAATAGAAAACCCGAACAGACCTATAACCACTAAGGAAATTGAAGCAGTCATCAAAAATCTCTCAACAAACAAAAGCCCAGGTCCAGATGGCTTCCCAGGGGAATTCTACCAAACATTTCAAGAAGAATTAATACCTATTCTCCTGAAACTGTTCCAAAAAATAGAAATGGAAGGAAAACTTCCAAACTCGTTTTATGAGGCCACCATTACCTATATCCCAAAATCCGGCCAAGGACCCCATCAAAAAGGAGAATTACAGACCAATATCCCTGATGAACATGGATGCAAAAATTCTCACCAAACTCTGCAAGGTTTAGTGCTGGACATGAATTGATGGGCGATACTGCCCCCCAGTGGCAGAATATGGCAACACAAAACATCGCAAAAATGATGGAATTTGGCATCCTTTGGATTGTATTCTAAAGAAAAATAACAAGCCTTGGGCCACAGAGATGATTAGAAATAAATTTAAGATTATCCTCCTATCATTTTAGATTTAAATTTATTTCAGACACAACCCATGGCTCAAAAGCAACAGAAGAATTGGTAACAATATTCAGTTCAAAGTTAATGTTATAAATTTATTATAAATGTTATAAATTTTATTAAAACCCCTCAGTTATGGGACTACAGGAAAGCATTTTGTCTCCCCATCATATACACGGAAAATCATAAGGCTCAGAGAAAAGGAAGGGCATCTGATAAAACTGCTCATTTTAACAAATACGGCTTTCTGAAAGAGAAATATAAAGTAGCCACAAATAAAGGAATTAA